GTTTCCACCGTCAGTGATGGTGTGGGGTGCCATGTCATCTGCCGGTGTTGGCCCACTCTGTTTCCTGAGGTCCAGGGTCAATGCAGCCGTCTACCAGGAAGTTTTAGAGCACTTCATGCTTCCTGCTGCTGACCAACTTTATGGGGATGCAGACTTCACCTTTCAACAGGACTTGGCACCTGCACACAGTGCCAAAACCACCAGCACCTGGTTCAAGGACCATGGTATCCCTGTCCTTGATTGGCCAGCAAACTCGCCTGACCTTAACCCCATAGAAAATCTATGGGGTATTGTGAAGCGGAGGATGCAATACGCTAGACCCAACAATGCAGAGGAGCTGAAGACGACTATCAGAGCAACCTGGGCTCTCATAACACCTGAGCAGTGCCACAGACTGATCGAGTCCATGCCACGCCGCATTACTGCAGTTATTGAGGCAAAAGGAGCCCCGACTAAGTATTGAGTGCTATACATGCACATTCTTTTCATGTTCATTCTTTTCAGTTGGCCAACATTAGAGAAACAAACATTTTTTCATTGGCCTTTAGAATATTCTAATTTTCTGAGATACCAGATTTGATGTTTTCATTGGTTGTCACCTATAAATATCAAAATTAAACGTAATAAACATCGGAAATACATTGGTCTGTGTGCATTGCATGAATATAATGTACAAGTTTCACGTTTTGAATGGAATTACTGAAATATTTTCAACCTTTTGATGATATTCTAATTTACTGGCCAGCACCTGTATTTCTTGGTTCTTTTTAAACACAGACAAGAAAAGTTTTCCTTCACTTCATTAATTAACATATTGGCTACTACCTGTAGCCATCCTCAGTAGGGATGGGTACCTTTGACATTTGAATCGATCCGTGACTAATTCCCGGTACCTACGAATCGATACCGGTACTTAACGGTACCAATTTTCGATACTTTTGAGTGTTTATTATTTTAATTCTCTTTTATAATTAAATATATATTTTTCTCAATATATAACAATATTTGATAAATATCACGATAAATAACATTCAACTGTTTGTATTTTAACATTGTCCTTGTAGTTTTATAAGCTGATAATTAAACTGAAGCAAACATCTTTACTGTGAACTAAATTTACTGAGTATCTTCATTTCTTTTGCCGTCTTTTTTCATTTGATTTTTCCTACTGGGAAGTTAGAATTTCCGAGGAGAAAGCGAACGCACCATTAGCTGATAACAACGGTGGCAATAGAAGCTAACATATCAAGCTAACGTTATCTTTAACAGTTTATTTAACTGCTGGAGCAGATTAAAACAATGATGCCTCACACTTAGATCGTTGTCACTGGTTTCATCTTCACCCAATCACCCGTCGCATTTAGTAAAGTGAAGCCAAACTTTAGAGCGCGTTCATGTTCTTCTAGGCGGAAATTCGGAGTTCCGAGGAGAAAGCGAACGCACCATTAGCGAAACGGAAGCTAACATATCATATCACATTTAGTGAAGTGGTCCCGAGTTTTAACGTGCGTTCTGTCTACCATGCTGCTCTGTTTACAGCTCACTCACAGGGACCGACGACATAACGCTCTTGCGCATGCGCAGCTGTCTAGGCAAGTTCTTGTTATGATGGACGGGTACCGAAACAAGGCACCGTTTGAAATGACGTGAATCGGTGCTCGGTCGGTACTATGGAATTCGGTCGGTACCTTTAAAAAGTACCGAATTCGGTACCCATCCCTAATCCTCAGAGCTGTGACGATGTTGGCGGCGTCACTTCCTTTTCCATTTATCTGCAAGCAGCCTAGGACAGTGTTGCCCCCTGCTGCTCATGCCTTCCTCGTCGATGACACAGTCCCATGCTAGACTTGGGCGGTATTACGGTATTACCGTATACAGCCGGTGTGGAAAAAATAGCAACGTGTCAGTTCCAATACCGTCATGAAAAAAGAACACGTAGGAGACGAGGATAAAAAACATAAAAATAAGTTTTAGAGTTTTAGAGCATCAACTAATCATCCAAAAATTAACTATTTTCATTAGAAAATACATATGTTCATAAAAGGAACTTGAGCCTACTCTCCCACAGCAATGGATTGTGGGTAATACACATTGTGGATCAAGGGCACAAAAGGGGCGTGATCAACTCCTGCACTTGAGAATCGGGACACTTTATGCACTTGCACCCCTGGTCGGGATTGCGCAATGGAAGGGCGCAAGTGTGGATATGTGAGTATTGGGAAAAGACCGTAGTACCTCCGGCGTGTCATGGGTCTTCCCTCGGGTCTCCTCCTAGTTGGATCTTGAAAACCTTCACCAAGGAGGCTTCTAAAAGACATCCTGACCAGGTGCCCATGCCACATCAACTGGCTCAACATGGAGGAGCAGTGGGTCTACTCTGAGCCCTCGGATGGTTGAGCTTCTAACATTATCTCTAACCTTATAGCCCAGCCACCCTGTGGAGAAAACTTATTTTGGCCACTTTTATCTGTGAGCTCGTTCTTTCAGTCACTACCCAAAGCTCATGAGTATAGGTGACTGGTAAATCAAGACCTTTGCCTTCCTGCTCAGCTCCCACTACAACTTCACCACGACAGACCGCTACAATGCCTGCATCACTGCCGATGCAACACCAATCTGCCTACCGATGTCGCACTCCATTTTTTTCCCCTCACTTTTGAACAAAACCCTGAGATACTTAAACTCCTCCATTTGAGGCAATACCTTGTTCCTGACCTGGAGAAGGCATTCTACCCTTTTCCGATTCAAGACCACGGTCTCTGATTTAGAGGAGCTGATTCTCATCCCAGTCGCTTCCCACTCAACTGCGGATTGCTCCAACGAAAGCTGGAGATCACTGTCTGATGAAGCTAACAAGACCACATCATCTGCAAAAAGCAGAGACCTGATCATCAGGCCACCAAAACGGATCCCCTTTGCTTTTTAGCTGCACCAAGAAATCCTCACCCGGAGGCGTCCAAAAGGTATCCTAGTATACCCACCCTTGCTGTAGCCAAGGATGTAGCCAAGGATTAGAATGCCAAGGTCCCTGCCTTTGGCTGCCACCCGACACACAATGCATCCGTCCCCTTTGGCCTCTCCCACGACTAGTGAGCTCATTGAAAGGGGGACACATGTAGGACTGGGCGAAATGGAAAAAGTAGAATATCACGAATTTTCCAATATTTTATCACGATTTTGATTTTATCACGATTTATCCATGAATAGCATAACTTCAATTGCGTATTAAAGAAGAGAAACATTAAATAAATAAACATTTATTCATATTAGGGATAATCAACACAGTGCTAACACACTTATATTTTAAACTCACACCAGAGATGATAAAAGCCCTGAGAGAAACAATTACAAAAATCAGTTTTTCTCGTTTTTCTAGTAACATAACATAAATTTAAATTGTAAACATATTTAAAGTGTAAACATGTCAATTGCAAACATATTGTGCAAACATTAACTTGTTCAAAATACTATGTAGCTCCCAGTTGCTCATGTAGTGGATAGTTAAGCTCAAATACGGCTCTGATGTGCGGCTGGACCAGAGATCGCTTGTGGTAGCAAATAACTGCGCATTCTGAATATTTTCTGCAACTCTCACTTTGCATTCAGCGTACATGCGTGGAATGGCGATGTTCGAAAAATACTTGCGGCTGGAAAACTCGTAGCGCGGATCCAATGTTTTTATCATTTTCTTAAATCCCGCTCCTACTGTTCACACGGGACACAAATCTTTAACCAAGTGGTACGTCACTGCATCTGTCACGCTGTTCCATCGTCTGCTGTCTCTGTCCTAGGGAGTGAGTTTTGTGAGTGTTTCTGTTAGCGTTTGCTGCCAGGAAGAAGCACTAGCCGCTGCCGCTGCAGCCGCAGGCTTTTTAGCTTTAGCTGCCAGCTGGCTCTCATTGTACTGTTTGGGATGCCTTCTTTTCAAGTGATTAAACAAGTTTGTGGTGTTGCCATCACTTGCCTTGACGCTCTCCTTGCAAACTTTGCATATGACGTTTCGCTGCTCTTTGTCATCTAGTGAAAAACCAAACCAGTTCCACATAATGGACGAGGCGTTTCTCTTCGGAACGAAAACCTCGTTGTCGCTCTCAGCCGCGGCCGAAGCCATGTTTGTTCACACACAGGTGAAAACAAGCGAGGCACTAATATATTACTATGACTCACTCTGACTGGTTAAGGGTCAAACAAAGGCGTGTCATTCGCCTGGGGTAAGTTCCCTTTTCAGTCAGAGGCAGAATTTCAACAGCAGAGCTGTGAATCGTGATAAAAAGGTCTCTCAAAAATGACAGACCGTCAGATGTGTAGATCGTAAAACGGTCTAAAATTGTCATATCGCCCAGCTCTAGACACACGGCTCCTTTTCGAGCTGTGCCTGGCCGAGCTCCATGGATAAAAGCCCGGCCACCAGGCGCTTTCCAACATGCCCCAACTCCAGGCCTGGCTCCAGAAGGGGACCCTGGTGACCCACGTCCAGGCGAGGGAACGCTGCTTCCATTTATGATTTTCCTCGTAAAGGGTCTATGAGCTGCACTTTGTCTGATCTCACACCTAGGACCTGTTTCCCATGGGTGGCCCTACCCAGACAATGTAGCTCCTAGGATCATTGGGAGACTCAAACCCCTCCACCACGGTAAGATGGCATCCCTGGGAGGGGACAGATAAACTAGTAGTAGCACATTCTATGTTAAAATGTGCTTGTTCTGGACTCTGGAAGAGGTTCTGGATTGGAACCAGTTATTTTTTAGTTTATTATTATTATTATTATTATTATTTTTGTAGTCTTATGATCTGAATCCAAACTGGGAACTGAATTTGGTTCTCATCTGGTTCTGAAACATGACCTGGATCTGATGATCATCTTGGATCTTGGATTATTTAACCTCCAGATATTCAGTCAGTGGTATGAAGGAAGGAGCCCTGAGGAGCTTCATGGTTCTAACTGCGATGTGTGTGTAGTGTCCAAACTTTAACCGAGTGTTTACCGGTTTCCCTGCCAGTACCTACAGCGGGAAGGTGTTCAAGGTCATCCTGCTGTCGTTGGGGGGTTTCCTGCTTCTTCCTCTCCTCGTCATCATCCTCATTCTGGAGTCACCCATCCAGCCAGAGGTCTTCAGGTAAGCCCGAGCAGACCCTGACCTGACCAACTTTTGATAATTTATAAATGTTCTGTATGTTTATATCCTGTTCATCAAAAGAGCAGCTGGTTGTTTCAGGGAAAACTTGTGTTTATTTGACCCTCCAGGGCCACCATCCAGTTCTTATCAGCAATAGCAAAAGCCGTTGCTGGTAACCGTGACCGTCAGCCTCCCGGGGCTGGGTTCTCTCCAGATATGTGGATGCAGACCTACCTGTACACACCTGGAGCCTCCAGGGAAATAGGGTCTGAACATCAGAAATGTTCCAGGAACCTGAACAGCGTTTAAACCAATTTTGGGCTAAAATCATGAGTTATGAACATTTTAGTTTTGATAGGAGGACTTGGGTCGTTGGGATTGAAAGAGGAATAGTCAGTTATTTACGAATGTTGGTAAATGAAGGAACTTAGTGTCCTACTTTGGCTGGAGGCTGCAGACAGGAGTACAGCAAGTGGAGGTTCTATTGGGTCACCCAATGGTCAGCGTAGACCAGGGTGTGGTTCCTGAGTCTGATGGTGGAGATCAAAATAACTTCAACACACCTGGTTTTAATCACCAGGTGTCTCAGATTGGTTACAAACAAGAAGAGGTCTGGAGATTGCGTAAGGTTTTTTCTGCACAAAGTGTGATTTATCAGGGAAGCCGCAGGGTCTTAAAGAATCAAACGAGCATTAAATTCAGGATAGTCAAATTTAAGGTCTTGAAAGTATTACATTTAAGAAAAAAGGTATTAAATTTCAGAAAACTTGCATTATTTTTCAGATGTTATATCATTTTTCAAATGGTAACACATTGTGTCATAAATAGGCTGTTAGATTTCTTAAAAACAAACGAAACACGGTTTACAACATGGTTTTTTAGAAAAATAATACATGTTTTAAATGTTTGTAATTTGAGGCGTCAGGAATTCCTGGTGGTTATCCTGTCTCTCAGCTCAGTTCCTGCCTTGTTCAGCGTTGTCTCACTTATTGGGGCTTTGTACCCAACCTCTGGATGGGGAGTTGGTATTAACTCCCCTCTGACCTTGTGTCCTGGCCCCCCCTTGCCGTAGAATTTTTGTTTTATCTCATCAATCTCAAGTTGGGATAGCGGTTACTGTTTGTGGATGTTGGAACACTGAGCTACTAGTTGTTTGGCTGTTAGTGTTGAGTGCAGGTTTCGAAGTAACATTCTCCGCATGTAACCCCTCTGACTAGGGCTGCTGGAGCAGTAGCATTTCAACAGATCCAGGTTCTGGCATCTCGCACATTTCCATCCTGTACCAGTAGCCCACTTTTCATCAGGGTGCTCTGGTTCCCCAGCACCTGACACAGACCTCGTTTGGCCGGGCGACTTCTGAGCCGGCAACTCCGTATCAGAAGGTTTGATTACCATATGTGAGAGAATCACAACATTAGGAAATTGCTGTGGTACCTGGTGCAAAAATATAAAGATAAAGATAAGAGAGCTAATATAGGAGTTAAGAGTATAATAATGATAAAATAATAATATAAAGTGGCAATACTTATATCGCATTCATTTTGGTTGCTCTCATCATGGTACGAGGTAGGCAAATGGCACCAAGAAGCTTGCCTAAGGGCCCACACTGGATGCTGGTATGTTTTTGCCTTAGCCCGGTTTTGAACCCATGTCCCCTGCTTGTTAGTCCGGAGCTTAACTTGTTGAGGTATCCAGCAGCTTGGAGGCCCGTATGGGGATGTTGGGGTCATTACTTAAGCCCAACCAATCAAAAACACAGACCCAAGCTCCGTCACCAAGCCCTCCCTTCAAACCTAAACAGACAGCAGTGTGACTTAAACAAGATGCTGCAGCGAGGAGAGGTGGAAGAAATTGTCCCAAAAAAAAGTTCCAGTACTTTACTAGTGTGGCAATTAGTGTTGTCAAAAAAACCGATACCTAGATATTAGGGCTGCACAATATATCGAAAAATTATCGTCATTGTGATAACAGGACGTGCGATAGGCCCATCGCAAAACACGGCAGAAACAGCCATGTTTGGTTCAAACATTTCCATCCGTGTCATACATCAGCTTTTTGTAAACCAGCTCTGTTTTTTTACACGGAAGTATTAATTGACCAATCAAATGTAGTCCTTCTGATATGCGGCCAATCAGATGGGTCCATTCACGTAATACGCCCGCCCCCTACATAGACCCTTTTGGAAAGCAAAAGTCGAGGTCTGGAGTGGCCTAGCCAGTCTCCAGACCTCAGCCCCATAGAAAATCTGCGGAGGGAGTTGAAAGTCCGTGTTGCTCGGCGACAGCCCCAAAACATCACTGCTCTCGAGAAGATCTGCATGGAGGAATGGGCCAAAATACCAGCTACTGTGTGTGCAAACCTGGCAAAGACCTATAGTAATCGTTTGACCTCTGTTATTGCCAACAAAGGTTATGTTACAAAGTACTGAGTTGAATTTTTATTATTGACCAAATACTTATTTTCCACCCTGATTTACAAATAAATTCTTTAAAAATCCTGCCATGTGAATTCATGGATTTTATTTCACATTCTGTCTCTCACAGTTGAAGTGTACCTATGATGAAAATTACTGTCCTCTGTCATCATTTTAAGTGGGAGAACTTGCACAATCGGTGGCTGACTAAATACTTTTTTGCCCCACTGTACCTTTGTCCTACTGTGGAGAAATTCGTTTTCTCCCTTTATTTGACCAACAGAGTTGTTCAGAAGTACAGAACAAAACATATGGCATTACATCTTATGACAAAAATGCACCTTAAACAGAGTTTAAGCAGCAGAACATCACTCTGCAAATAGTGTATATATAGTGAGACAATTCATGATTTATAGTGTTAACTTTTGCCAGTTTTTGTATGCACGTTTTAAAAAATGCTGATACTTGAAAGGTTTAAGCACTTTACACACTTAACTCTTAACATTAAATTTTTGCAATATAAATTGAGGAATGTTATTTTTTGAATAAACTTGTTCAATAAATTGGTGTTTTTAAATAGTATCGAAATCAAGTATAGAGTTTTTTTCCAGTATTGAATCGAGTTTGAAATTTTAGTATCGTGACAACCCTAGTGGCAATATTTTCATTCTTGCAAGTCTGACAAAAAACAAACAACAGTGGTTTGCAACAGAGAACCAATAAAAAACAAGTCTGATAAAACTTGTTTTATTATAAAGTAATGGCCTAAGATGTCCAGGGCTGCACAACAAAGCAGATCCCAGGACAAACATCAGACATCTCAGTCCAGAAAAGTGCAGTTCTAGGAACAGCTAAGATGCCGCACAATAAAATATTTGTTTTGTCGCACGTGTAAATATGTATTTCCGGCCGCAAACTTGGCATTAAATTTGATTGAACAGGCATTAAAAAGCTGTTAAATTTCACCGCGTCAAATCTGGAGCTCCCCCGTTTATGAAGATAACCCTGTTGGGAAAATGTGGCTAAATCAGACAGAAGCACCTGGATTTCTGTCTTTGTTGCCATGGCTACCCATGAAATGCCACACATCATAAGGTAGCTTGCATTGACCGGTAAGGGCAGGCAGCAGGATAAACACCAGATCACATTTCTAGGAAGAGTGTGATTGTGTCAGCTTTGTTTTTCAGGTTGGGAAATTAGTTTCCGTAAACAAATAAAAAAAAATATTTTTTTTTTGCTGACTTTAAAGAACAAGTCACTCCCTTACCAAAATCTTACTCCAGCCAACTTTCCAGTTTGAAAAAAGCACCTGAAGAGGGCCTTGCTTGTTGGACAGGGAGGGCAGGTCTGCTACCCCCCCCCAACCCCCCACCCCCCACCCCCACACACACACCCCACTCGCCTCGGGGACCGTCACTCACAGAGCCAGCCAATTAACACACGCGCCAGCTGAACTTCAACCAAATGTGCACAAACACTGCTCAGACAGAGAAAAGGCAGCTTTGCCCCGTTCCCGATAGCAAAGCTAGCTCCTGTGCCTCAGAGCGGTCCTTTTGAGGCGGAGGAGTTATTTACTCCTTCACCAGAAGACTGGAGGAAGGGAGGAAGGTTTGTTTTGGAGCCGAGCGGCCCTGAGCCATATCATTTAGCACCGGTAGCTCATGAGGTGCTTTGTTATTCCTACTCCAACTCGCTATGGAGGCGGGGCCTAGCCCGAGACACGGCTGCTTGTGGATCCCACATGGGTCCAGCTAATGTCACAGGAGACCTCCTTTTCTTTGAATTCGGTGTAGTGTGGTTTTTTAACAAGAAGAGGGCACCACATTGGGTTTTATATTTTGAATGAGATACACCTCATCAGAAAACAGCTGATTTGGGGATAACTTACTTTTGAAGTTGGGTAGGGATTGTACAAAAGGGGCCCCTGGTGATTAACAGGCTTCTGCAGAGCTGAACATGTGATTCAACCATTGGGTGTGTTGGAGCAGGAAACATCTAAAACATGCTGGGTTTGTCCTGTTTTAACTCTGCTGCCCCCTGCTGGTTATTCCTACTGCTGCAGACTAAAGGAGCCCCCACCAATGAGGGGATGTTGGGAGTCTAACCTGAAGCTCAGAGAAGCCCAGAGACTCTTTGAAAACCAGATCATTGGGCCTGAATCCATCGCTAACATTGGAGGTTTGTAAAGCCCCCCCCCCCATCCTTCCTCCTGCCTGGGACTCTAGTCTGAGCCCCGAAGGCACCACCAGTCTTGTTTCAAGCCCAGACCGAGTCATGGTGGTTGTCCTCTATCTGCAGATGTCCTCTTCTCTGGAACAGCTGATGGGAAAATCGTGAAGCTGAGTGGTCGAAGAATTGTTACGGTGACCAGGCTTGGGAAAGAGCCATGTGGTGAGACATTAAAATGGCTAACACACCTCAACACCAAACACCTCTCGGGTACTAGACGGTCAGGGTTGTGAGGGGCGGAGCCTATTGATTCAGTTGGCCAGTAACGGACAGGGCTAGCCCTCGTCTAGTGACCTCCCCCACCAATAAAACCAGCAGTCTCAACTACAGCTCACGTCCAACCTTCACCCACTCAACTGTAAGGTCGTAATGGATTGTGTCTTTCATCATCATGAAACAGACCAGAAGAAACTGGTTCCTGCAAAACAGCAGTTTGTGTGTGTCAACGTGCCGTTGAACAACAGGAACCTTTAGCCTGATGAGGTGTTGCCTCAAACTCGTTTCCCAACACTGCTACTAGAGTTGGGGCTAATTTGAGGTCATGAAGAAGCTGCGGTAGAAACAACTACCACTGATGGTCTGATCAGACCAAAGGACTGTTGATGTTCTGCAGGTTCTACAGCAGATGAGCCCAGCTGTGGTCGGCCACTGGGCATCAGAGTCGGACCCAACGGCACTCTGTTTGTAGCTGACGCCTACCTGGGCTTGTTTGAGGTCAGCCCCACGACAGGTAAGTTCTTATTAGTCACGCCCCCTCTCACCTGCAGTTCATGTGTTGTTAAAAACCTTCCTGTGCAGGCGAAGCAACCCGCTTGGTGGCAGGAGGTCAGGTGGTCGCTGGCAGGAAGCTATCATTCATCAACGACGTGACTGTGACGCAGGATGGAAAGAAGGTGTACTTCACCGACTCCAGCAGCAGGTGGCAACGTAGAGACTACATGCACCTGATTATGGAGGCCACCGCTGACGGACGGTATGATACAGCACAGAGCTGGGCTGTCACCATGGTAACGGCATGCTGGAGCATTTAGTCTCGGCTACTTTAGAGCTGGTATTACTCTACGGAACTCCTGAAAGGATTTGTGCACATTACCTAAGCGCCGTTTCCCAGTTGAGGAACACAGTTTAGCTTTTTCTATCTGTTTGAGGATTTCTGTTATCCCGTAAGGGCTCAGGTGTACAACGTACAAACTCCAGATGGGCCGGTCATCCCAGTCAAGCTGCCATCGTCCCCCAACAGGACCACGGAGTCCCCGCTCAGAGCACCAGCTAGCTCTCCTTCCACGGCCTAACCCAAATGACCAGTTTTAGATTCCAGGGATCAGACCTGGTCCTCGATCCATCAAGCACCATACTCCTCATGCTGCCCCTGCAGGTGGTGGGTCCACAGGTGAACCATCCCATGTAGCTGGTTTGGGTTGTTCCTGGTGGGATTAATGGGTAGAATCCGTCCACCAGGTACTCACACATGGGCCCCTATTCTCGGGGCTGTTGTCATTGCCCCTCTTATCTCGCCCCTCGTTGAGGATATATTCACCATGGGGCCTTTAACAGGGGACCTCATGGGGGAACATTTACCTCACCATGGTGAGGTGTAGGGTCCGGGTGGAGAATCAGCACTTCGGAGAACGGGTGAATGAAAATCTGTTATGGGATCAGATCAGATCAGTGAATAATCATCGTGTAGATCCCCAGGTGCCTTTTCTGGCCCTGCTTCCTGTTAACGATGTTTCAAACTAAAATTCTCTATTTCACCTGGTCTTGTTGTGATTTTGGACCCAGGGTGTTGGAGTACGACACAGAAACCAAAGAGCTGACTGTCATCATGGAAAACCTGCGATTCCCAAACGGCATCCAGCTGCTTCCCGATGAAGAGTCTGTTCTTGTGGCAGAGACCACCATGGCCCGCATCCGCAGGTAACTCTGCTACCTCACCTGAAACAGAGGCTTAGCCTGAACCTGGGTCTGTCAAAACTAGAACCTGGATAAGGAACAAGAACATTCCACAACACACATCCTGATGAGCTTCAGCCTCATAAGATGATGACAGATCACATGATTCCATCTGTCCAGATGCCCTCGAGAATCCAAACCCCCCACGGTCTCCAGACCCTCAGGGGCCAAACCCTGGTCTCTGTAGGTTTCATCACCTGATCCAGAGGAGGGTTCATCTGGCTTTAATGCAGAACTCATCCTGGGGGATTATTATCATTTTAAAATAATAAAAAAATGTGAAGAAGCTTATTTTTGTTTGAGAGGAGCCAGTTGAGGCGGCTCAGGCTTCTGGTCAGGATGCCTCCTGGACGCCTCCCTGGTGAGGTTTTCCGGACCTAAAGAGAGACCCAGGGCATGTTGGCCACATCTATGTTGTGTTTCTGCTGAAAATGAACTAATGCATTAAGATCTATTGAAAATCATCAAAAACCTTTATACCATACAAGAGCAATTCTCATCAAGCAGACAGCCAGCTAAATACATGGCCACAGTTATAGCAATAAACTAAGTGACTTCCATCAGCTTTTATGAAGAACCAGTGAACGGCTATGAACGCAGGAAGGTTTAGATTTAACTTTTCACAAAGAAGCAATACAATTATTTATTTACAAGTGGAGGACAGAAGCTCCTCCCCCCGCACACGGCTGTTCGGGGGGGTGGGGGTGGGGGTCTAATGAACTGCCTCCTTATATCGACCTCGCCGCAACGTAAAGCTCGGATGACTCTGTTCCACCTGCCTCCATAAACGGGGATCAGAATTCCCAGCCGCTGCAGAAACATGCATTGTGAGAAACCTGCACACTTCTACTGGACTCCGTGGGTTTTTATTTCTGTAATGTCCAGTTTGTTATAAAACCGCAACGGGCCAGCTCCCAATTCAATTTTATTTATATAGCGCCAAATCACGACAAGAGTCGTCTCAAGGACCTTCACACAATAAACATTCCAATACAGGTCAGTTCATTAAGCCAAGCAGTAAAAAGTTTCCTATATAAGGAACCCAGCAGGTTGCATCAAGTCACTGACTTGTGTCAGAGTCTTTACAGCAATCCTCATACTGCGCAAGCATTTAGCGACAGTGGAGAGGAAACTCCCTTTTAACAGGAAGAAACCTCCAGAGGATCCTGGCTCAGTATAAGCAGCCATCCTCCACAACTCACTGGGGATCGAGAAGACAGAGCAGACACACACACACACACACACACACACACACACACACACACACACACACACACACACGCGCGCACGCACACGCACACGCACACACACACACACACACACCAAGTAACGTTTCTATGGTTACATTGTGATTTCTTAGTAAATATTCTATTTGGTGAGAGATAAACTTTATTGTATTTATCCTAGTGAATCTATAATTAAACGGGTAAACTAGTAGTAGCACATTCAATATCAAAGAGAGTAAAATGTTATTATCAGGAGAGGGAGAATGTTTAAGTGGTTAGCAGCAGTGTGCTAGACGATGGCCCCCTCCTTGAGGCCACCACAGCTCAGCAGAACATCACTGCAGCTTCTTCTGGGGAGAAAAACACTTAGAGAAAAAATAAAGTTAACAGCTGAAATAGCAGGAAATAATACAGTTAAAGAGCAAATTGTAGAAGAAAGTAGCCGAGTGTGGAAAGGAGTCAGTGTATCTTCCAGCAGTCTAAGCCTATAGCAGCATAACTACAGAGATAACTCTGGATAACCTAGCCTTTTAGATGGAGGCATGTTGGAGGCAGGACAAGGGAGAGCCGTCTTTACCGACTGTACACTCCACCTCCCTCTACTCCCCCACTTGTCCTGATCCAGGCTAACATCAGATTTTAACCATAGGCCCTATCAAATAAAAATATTTTAAGCCTAGCCTTAATAGTACACAAGGTGTCTGCCTCACGGACTAAAGCTGGGAGCTGGTTCCACAGGAGAGGAGCCTGATAACTAAAAGATCTGCCTCCCATCCTATTTTTAGATATTCTGAGAACCACCAGTAAACCTGCAGTCTGAGAGCGAAGTGCTCGGTTAGGAACGTATGGAACAACCAGGTCACTGATGTATGATGGAGCTTGATTATTAAGAGCTTTATTTGTGAGAAGAAGGATCTTAAAATCTATTCTGAATTTAACAGGCAGCCAATGTAGGGAAGCTAAGACAGGAGAGATATGATCTCTCTTTTTAATTCTCATCAGAACTCTAGCTGCAGCATTTAGGACAAGCTGAAGATTTTTAACTACATTATGTGGACTTCCTGAGAGTAATGAATTACAGTAATCCAGTCTTGATGTAATAAATGCATGAACTAGTTTTTCCACCCTCCACTGATCCAGACTCCGCCTTTGGCTTCGGCTCAGCAGCGATGCCTGCCGCCATGCGTGTCATTTGTTCATCAGGCAGTTTGGATCCACTCATGAACTCTACTTTAACTTGTTGGTAAGTTCGTTCCCTAAGCGCGGCATGGGTAATGGTACCAGGAGTGTCACTTCCACTGGTGTCCATCCTGGTTCGGACTCTCCTGGAGGTTTTTTCTCTTCTGCTGTGGCCCATGCTCCGTGCTGCTGCTCAGGGTGAAGATACACCAACCCTTCTAACAAAATAATCTTTTAGCCTACAGCTCATGTATGGAAAGCTCGAAGCAAGATTAAAGAAAACGAAACAAAATGAAATCTTCCTTAAATAAGTAAATACTTAAAATTACACTTAATTACAATTTAAGATTTTTAGCATCTGCCTGATCAGTCCCAGTGGCTGCCTGGTGGGATCTGAGTCCCTGTGCTCTGCTGGGTCCCCGGCGGCACTGGTCACCCCTGGGTCCCGGGTCGCTGGGTTCCGTGCTCGGCCGGCTGGGGGTGGGAGGCTGCGGGCTGGCCTGTGAGCTTGCCGCTGATGTCTCTCGGGGCTCTGCCAGCTGCTGGTTGTGGCCCCACCGGGGCAATCCTCTAGGGCAGGGTCTTTTCTGGTCGCAGTCTCCCTGGGGTCCCTGTGCTCTGGTGCAGCTCCTGGATCTCTGGGACTTGGAGCTCCCTCCATCTCCTACACATCTTTGGGGGCAGATCTGTGGCCCCTCACACTCTCTATTGAATGCTTTTATAGAGAAACCTTACATACACAAGCGTGCGTACACACAGGTGCTCACATGGTGCTCTCAAAAGTATGGACTTGGGCACGTTCAACACATGTCTCAAGGCTGTGGTTGGCGCTAAATGCACTGTGATTTATTATTGTGTGATTGTTCAGTTAAACAATGTTGATTTTCTATTTTCTCATCAGGTTGATGCAGTGATAGTTTGATCTTGTTGTATTGTTGTGTGTCCCTTTTCTGCAGGTCTAGAAGCAGACTCTTGTTCATCATTGATTGTTTATTTTTGTGGACCCCCCCCCCCCCCCCCTCCCCTTTGTCTCTTCCTTTCTCTTTCACCACTGTCTCCGTGTCTGGTCAGAATTAAAAAGCATTCAAAAAACAATAACAAAGTTTTAAGTATCAGGTGTGACATTAAAAGCAGACGCTTTGATGCTCCACCTGAGAGTAAATCTGTAAGGCTTGTCACCAGCATTCAGACATCAATTCTGTTTGCTTCACAGCCAGACAGGACACGGGGAGAAAGGAATAAAAAAACACTTAATGACAATTATCAAAGCAAGACAACCAAGAGTTTTATTATTTTTGCTCTTTTCATTCTTGATTTATAGATTTTTTTAAAATAACATGGAGAATGAACCACACCTTTTTGAGTTACATCCATAGCCATCCCACAAGTTACCTCCTCTAACAGAAACACATCTGTTATGTTTGTTCCCTCGAGTCATATCGACCCTCTGACTTCCAACTGACGTAGTGCTTTATCTGTGTTTGTATTGGACTAAATCGTAACAGTTCAAGGTTCAACTTAATAAACCAGATGTTGGTTATAGTTCCACTGATTTTAAGTTACAGCTCTTTTTGGTAACCTAAAACTAGGAAGTCTCGGTCTTATATGCACTGCCCCATATCTCTAGACCACAAGTCACACGTGGAAGCAACAGAGAAGAATGAAACTTGTAGGACATGCTTTGTTTTGTAGAGAATAGGTTTTAGAAGATTTTTAACATTTTTGTTTTCACGTGATTTATCAAACTTCCAGGTGAGCTTATCATCAATTATCACTGTAAGAAATTATTATTTTAAATAAGACATAATGTTTTGCTCATATTTAACAATGACTTACTTATATGAAAACTGTTTTCCACTGTAGTCAGAAGCTGTTCTAGGTTTTACCTGAGCAGTAGGGCGGTGTCAGCATTTGAACGGTACAGGGAGAAGGCAGATACCATACGTTATTGATAAAGTGTTGATTTCTGATGTCCATTTGGGTTTAGCTCATCTAGTAAGTAAGTAAGTAAGTAACTTTATTTGTATAGCACCTCTCACAGACAAAAAAGGTCACAACGTGCTTCACAAGTTAAAAGGCAACAACATATAAATACAGTAAAATACAGCCACAATATACATAGTGTCAAATACAACCAATCTGTATGAGACTAAGTTTAAAATGCCTGGAGAAACAAATGGGTTTTAAGATTGCTCTTAAAAACATCAACTGAGTCGATTGAGCGTAATGACAGAGGTAGCTCCTTCCAGAGCCTAGGAGCGGCGGCCTGGAATGAGCGATCTCCTCGTGTCCTGAACTGAGTACGTGGGACCATTAAAAGGTTTTGATCCAGTGATCTCAGCCTGCGAGAAGGCGTGTAAGGGCAGAGCATGTCTCGAACATACAATGGAGCCAGACCATGCAGCGCTCTGAAAGTCAGCACAAGATCTATACTACAATCACCAAAAAGACGTGCACCTTTCTATCCTTTAGGCCACTAAACATAGCAGCAAGTTTTTCACTGAACGTGTCAAGGCATGATCCTGGTGTCCTAGAGGCGCATCATAGCTTTTTCAACATGGTAACACATTCCAATACATCATCTATGGTGCTTGACATCCATTCAATCAGACAAAACTTTTATCTACATAAAAGCAACCTCGCCTCCTTTTTAATTCACCCTGGGCGTTGTAAAGGATCCGTTCCTTCTAGTCCGTTTCTCGTGTTTCTGATGTTAAACTGTTTTAACTTACTTAAGCGTTCTGTAATTTTAGAACCATCGTTAGAGGCTTCTACTATTGAAATGTATGCATTTTCCATTTTAATATACCTGTTGAATTGGCCGTCTGTATGGTGTGGTTGTCTGGGTCAGTGTTATTTTCAGGATCGTGCATGTTGTGCTCTGCGTAGTTAAACCTTTTAAGTTTCAGTTTCTGCGTGTGTAATAATGTTCAATATCTCAGGATGGAAATCTTTATGTCCAATCTGCTTAGTGACGCGTGACCTAACATTAACTTTACTATTAGGCCATTGTTAATACTTTGTTTAGCAGTTTATCAATGCTTAATAATGCACTAAGAAACATTAATAAAGGTGCCCTTTAACCGAGTTTTTAAAAGCGGTGACATTTAAAATGTGGAGGGCCGGCCTCGGTAGCAGAAGTGTTCGTGTGTCTGTTCCAGGGTCCATGTAGCTGGTCTGAACAAAGGGGGGATGGATACGTTCGTCGACAATCTGCCTGGCTTTCCTGACAACATCCGGCCAAGCTCAACTGGAGGTTACTGGGTGGCCATGTCTGCTGTAAGACCGAACCCTGGCTTCTCGATGCTGGACTTCTTGTCCCAGAGACCCTGGATCAAAAAACTCATTTTCAAGGTAAAAAGATACAAAAAGCTCTTTATTATTAGTGGATTATTCATATTTTTATTTGCATGTTAAAGACTCTTAGTAGTTTGAGTAAAGTCCTACCAAGTCCCAGGTGATTCAGTCCTGCAGACCTTTTACTTAGCATCTGTTCGTCATCGTGCATCATATGTTTCCTCCCATTCGTCATTTATTCAGATTGTTTTCTGTTCCATCCTCTGGACTCTCTTTTTTTATTTTATTTTTTTTATTTTTTTTCCCTCAAGCTCTTCAGTCAAGACGTGCTGATGAAGTTTGTTCCGCGGTACAGTTTAGTGGCGGAGCTTCATGATGGTGGCATCTGCACACGGAGCTTTCATGACCCCAACGGCCTGGTGACGGCCTACGTCAGCGAGGTCCACGAGTACGATGGGCACCTCTACCTGGGCTCTTTTCGCTCACCGTACATCACCAAGCTTGATCTGCAGAAGGTGCAGTAAATGAAAGTCATAAAAAAGAAACATCTGAAAAGTGAAAATGGATGTTTGGGATATTTGTGACTGGCCAATCAGGAGGAAGCGTAACAACCACCTGGCTGTTGGCACGTCTAATCCTTTTCTGCAGCCATGTAAGAAACGAAGATTAAAGTCCCGACACTGGTGACCTGCGTCTCCCCTGCTGGTTGTAATTCATGTTTTCTTAGATCAGAACCTGCTGCCAAACTTGGTATAGACCTGAATAACCTTCTGGATGCGTGTTCGGGAAGGACTCCAAATGTCTGGTCAGACTTCATTTGATTTATTGGATTTTATTTTATTTTTTATTTCAGTACAATTTTGACAGCTAATTACATTCGACGCATTACAACTTAGTGGAAACATGTGAGAAAATTCCTTGAAATCAGAAAATGGAGACTAGTTTGCACCGTGCAGCTTCAAACTCACCGGCTGGCTACTTTCATCGGGCTTCTGTCAGTTCCAACGATACAAATCACACCTTTATCATTTTAGACGATTGTTAAATGTGTTCACGTTGACCTCTTGAGGGTGTTGGTCATGCTAACTCACCCTGCTACGTGTTAGCATGCTACATGTAAGGCTGTGGTTTGAATCCGTTACAGAACCAGGAGTCCCGCCAGGGTTCCGTCTACTCATTTTATGTTTCAAGCTCAAATGTGGATTTTTTAAGCCTTTTGACTTCATGTTGATTATTTTCTTCATCGTATCTTCATCGACGAGCCTACTGCAGGTTATGTTCTGCAGGTCTATAAATTAGTTAGCCTAAAATAAAGAGTTTTGGCATCTAAAATATCAGAAGTTTGTGAGTCCTTTCTTATTTTCTGTGAGTTGAACATCTTGCTCCTCCTCCTCCTCCTCATGATGAGGACACCACGTATGATTTGGCTGGAAAAAACCAACCGGGGGTGATTTCTTCTCCTTAGATCAGATGTTTCATCTGTGTTTTGTTTAAGAAGAAACAAATCCTCAGCTTGTATTGTTGATGCTTATTTTTGTAAATAATTTTAACATTCAGGCATAAATGGATTTGTCAGATTTTTACATTTAATGTAAATATTCAGCAGTTTTGGTTTTATTTTAGGACTTCATTTAGATAATTTATTCTTTTGATGAATTTGTTCTGTTGTCACTTTGTTCTCATTCAAAGTCAGTCAAATAAAACATGAATTCTTTTCACGTTTGAACTCAGAATAGTCTGTTTCATCATTTCTCTTGTTTACCTGCATGAATTGTACAAGTAAGACTAATTTGTTTTTGTTGTAAATAAAAACAGAATCACTGAGCTGAGAACATCAAAACAACCGAAGCTGACTTCTGCTTTTTGCCTTTTACGACCCAGTTTTTAAGATTTATTTTAGTCCCCTTTTAAGGTCACATTTTTTAGACGGGGTCAACGTGCAGTAAAACACGTGCAGTAATGTGCCAGGATTCAACAAAGACCTAATTTCTGCTTTCAGTTTGTGGCCCAGTAGCAGGAATAAGGACAAAAACAGCTGAAAGTGAGAGAGCAGATCAGACCCTTTACCCTCTGCAGCATTCACTTGACAGCCCGTGCTGCAAGGCTGCATGGTCACCTGAGTGGGAGGCAGCCTTCCAGGCATCCCAGCTGGCCATCGTGGATGCTATCCGAGCAGTGGCAGAGGTTTACAATGTGGAGAGGCGTGCTGGCCACCAGGGTGCTTCGGCAGTGGAACAGTGGGCCCACACTATTGTCTACTGGCCCGAGCTATCGAGGGACATCCAGTAGACTAGGGAGAGCTGGGCGGACTGCAACAGCAATGCCCCCTCGCAGGCGGCCGTGCCCCCATGCCGTGACCACCGCCGTCCACATCATTCAAGGAAGTGTTTGCTGACTTCTTTGACTATTTGGGTCATCGCTACCTGGTCAGTGGTGTAACGTTTTGTATTTGGTTACTTAAAAAAAATGGTCAATACAATATAAATGTAATATTTCATAAAAATATGGTTTATCAATATTGAATCTTTAATATTTGACTGATATAGTTACTTTGGGTATCGCCAGGGAACCAACACTATATAATAATTTGATTCAGAGGCAAAAATATAGTTTATAAAAATGTATTTCATTACTACGTATTCATCTTACAGAACACAAACACTATTCTCTACTCATACCTATGTTCACAACAGCTTGTAATGGCTAACGTAGCTTAGCTCTCATAGATGTTTGTGCCTGCTAACACAGAAATGGGGACAGTGTATCAATCTGTCAGCCCGATAAAACGTATGAAATGGTCTAAAGCAGCCTTTCTCAAATGGGGGTACGTAAAGAAACTCCAGGGGGTACATCAGAGAAGCAGACTGTCTAAAAAAGAGCTTGATCACAGCAGTTGCCTCCCTGCCACCAAGGATGAAAAAGATCCTCAGTGAAGCACAAGCCCAAGTGTCTCACTAAAAAGTCTGTAGAAACACTCCGATCAGTGCAGTAATGTTAAGATTTCAGTCTTCTTTTTGATTTTTAAAAATATATTTTGAGATTTACATTTGTTTTTAGCAATTGTTATTTAAAATGACGTTGATGATTTCTTTTAGAGAACAGATATACTATGATCCCAAAAGAGAACACTTTATGTTGATGTGCTTTTTATGAGCACAAATCTTTAATTATAATTAGCTTAATCATTTCTTTGGCCTGTATTTGATATATATATATTTTTAATATTTCTAGTTATATATATATTTTTTCCAAATAGTTCAAGAGATACTACAAAAAATGTGCAGTGTTTTGCACATTTATGGATTTTTTAATGGGTAATCTTATGGTTTTAAATAGTTTTATGGTGACTGTTTTCAATTAATTAATTAGAATCACATTTTAGTGATGAAAAATATTTCCAATACATTTACTTATGGAGTATTAACATTTAAAATATTCAAAATAGTTTTTTCCCCCAAATGGTTGAATTTTGTACTTGTTTATCAGTTTCAAAGTTGAATAAATCAGTCACTGAAGGCACCTATTTAAGGTCTTGTTTTTTACAACCAAAAATGTTTTTGCGCTGATTAGGGGTACTTGGCTGAAAAAAATATTTCACAGGGGTACATCAGTGAAAAAAGGTTGAGTACCACTGGTCTAAAGTAATAGCTGTCTCGTTATAACCAGACTGCAAAGTGTGCAGGTTTAAGTTTCACTTCAGAGGAAAGATCACCATAGGGAGCCTAAGTCTCCTCCCTTTCTGGTCGGCTCATGAGTCCCCAGAAGAACGAAAAAATGAATGCAAGTCAACGGGGCTAAAAACGCTATTTTCTAATCCGCTTCGCCTTATTCCCTGAATCGCACATATGTTGTACTACAATTTAAATGAAAAGTAATGATGGGTATTTCGACCATGCCAGTCACGCACTTTGAGATTTATCAGCTTGTAAATGTTCGTAATTTGAATGATTACAACAGCATGTGGCATATATGACGTCACCACATAATCTCCTCTCCCCTAGCGTAGCTGCTACTTACCAAATGAGCAGATTTATGGTGGTTCTTTCCTCCTGAAGGACGGATTTCAAGTTTGCAGAACTTACAGCCATTTTCCGTCTGCTTTCCTCTGTATCTGGTTCGATGACGTCATTTTCGTGAAGCACATTAGTAGCCCTGGACTTATTTTCACACTAAACATAAAATAGCGTCCCCCCCCCATTTGAAAATAAGCGAGTTCTTGGTATCAAAAAGCATCTTTAAAATTCACGGACATCATATTTGAAATCCATGGCACAAAACACTTGGAATTAGAAAAGAGAGTTTTAGCACCATTGAATTGCATTCGTTTTTTCATTCTTCCGGGGTCCGAAAGTAGATGGGTGTGATTTAGGCGCCCTATGACTCCGTACAATCTTCTCGTGCCTTCTCTCCTTTTGAACCCTGCTTTTTTCCAGTCAGAGAACCACTCTGCCATTTATTAGTCATTTGTTATAACCCTTTCACTGTTTTCATGGCTCACAAACACACATGTCTAAATGAACAATTTTAGATGATTAAAAATTGAATGTAGGTCTATCTTTTATAACTACAGGATCCTGAGATACTCTATTTTTCCACAGAAAAACATATTTGTCCTGTCAACACAAGTTTAGAATAAATCCTAAGGAAATTTGGATTTCCCAGCTTCCACCCAGCATTCAAACGCACCATGTACGCACAAATCAGTCAGGTGTGAAAAGAGTCTCGAAAGGATTTTTGTACTTGTAAACTGGTCTGTGTGTAATGTAGTTTTGTCTGTGTGTACCAGGTGATTTGTGTGTGTGTATTCAGTGATCTGTGTGTGTAGGAGCTGAAGTTACACACGAAAAATGTAAACACAAGTTACAAATCAAGTGTTATACACACACAAATCTAGACTCACACGCACAGATCTCTTGAAACTTTTTTCTCCCCATAAAAAAATACATACATTTCTTTTGTCTTCTTTTACTGTTCAAGAGTTTCTTCTCCTGTTTTTCCTGTTTCATGTCTGTTGACTTATAGTTTGCTGTTGTGCTATAATAACGCGTGGCACCTCGGGCTTCTGTGAAAGCAGTGGAAGAAGGTGCTGCAAAATTAAACTAATGATGATATGAACCGGGATTCTGGGTCAGACTGTGACAATGAGCAAAGGTTTGTCAGAACAACAAAAAACTCAAACAGACAACATATCTGTCCATGACATCATTTGACCTTTGACCTGGCAGATGCAGATGAACAACAAGTTGACGGGTATCAGAACCAGACCCAGATGTTCCTGCACCTAATAACTCTGTCTTTGTTCTGTCACTGTGAAGCTTCTTCTGTAACATTCTGTAGTGGTCTCCATGGCAACAGAGTTGGTGATGATACACTCCACAGAGGTGGGATCAATCTGGTGTGTAAGTAATTATGGGATTGTGTCAACCTGTTGTGTTTGTGTGTGCGCGTGTCTGTGTCAGCTTGCATGTTTGGGCATGTGTATGGGTGTGTCAGCGTGCATAGGTGTGTATGGGAGTGTGAAGATGGTCAGGTAAAAGACTCAGCTTGTGAAGCTCTGTGACGTTTTGCCACCAGTAGAAATGCTTTTGTACGTTTGGCCTTTTGTTTGCTGAGTCATCAGAACCAGAGCCGGGAGACCTGGGGATGGACCGTCCAATCTCGGGGGCAGAAGTTGCTGAGGTAGTCAAACAACTACACAGCAGCGGAGCCCCGGGGGTGGATGAGATTCGTCCTGTGTATCTCAAGGCTATGGATGTAGGGCTGTCGTGGTTGACACGTCTCTGCAACATTGCGTGGTCATCGGGGGCAGTTTCTGTGGAGTGGCAGACCTGGAAAGGTCTACTCCAAGGTACTGGAGAGGAGGGTCCGATCGATAGTTGAATCTCAGATTGAGGAGGAGCAATGTGGTTTTCGTCGTGGCCGTGGAACTGTGGACCAGCTCTATACCCTTGCAAGGGTGATGGAGGGGGCATGGGAGTTTGCCCAACCAATCCACATGTGTTTTGTGGATTTGGAGAAGGCTTATGACCGTGTCCCCAGGGGCACCCTGTGGGGGACGCTCCAGGAGTACGGGGTGGGTGGCTTTCTGTTAAGGGCCATTCAGTCCCTTTACCAGAGGAGCGTGAGTTTGGTCCGCATAGCCGGTAGTAAGTCGGACCTGTTCCCAGTGAGGGTTGGTCTCCGCCAGGGCTGCCCTTTGTCACCGGTTCTGTTCATTACCTTTATGGACAGAATTTCTAGGCGCAGCCGTGGTGTGGAGTGTGTCGAGTTTGGTGGCAGGAGAATCTCGTCTCTGCTTTTTGCGGATGATGTGGTCCTCCTAGCTTCATCCAGCTCTGACCTTCAGCTCTTGCTGGGTAGGTTCGCGGCCGAGTGTGAAGCGGCTGGGATGAGGATCAGCACCTCCAAATCTGAGACCATGGTTCTCGACCGGGAAAGGGTGGCTTGCCAACTCCGGGTCGGGAGAGAGGTCCTACCTCAAGTGGAGGAGTTTAAGTATCTCGGGGTCTTGTTCACGAGTGAGGGTAGGAGGGATCGGGAGATCGACAGGCGGATTGGTTCGGCGTCTGCAGTGATGCGGACGCTGAGCCGATCTGTCGTGGTGAAGAGGGAGCTGAGCCAGAAAGCCAGGCTCTCGATTTACCGGTCGATCTACGTCCCAATCCTCACCTATGGTCATGAGCTTTGGGTAATGACCGAAAGAACGAGATCGCGAATGCAAGCGGCCGAAATG